ATAGTTTTCGAGGCAAAAATATAGCCCTTGAGGCAGAAGTTACTTGTACCAAGTCTAGTATCCCTTCGCAAGGACTTGTGAATACTAGCGCTCTCCCCGAGGATAAAAGGAAAGAAAAGAAGGTAATAGGAACCCCTTCACAGGGAAAATTAGAACCTATTACTAGTAATAAAGATATTCAAGATTCAAAAGAGAAGGTAGCTCTTCACAGAGCCAAATTCAATCTAAACTTTCTATTGAAAGGATAGATCCAAAAGATATTGTCAAGATATGCCATTAAGCAAAAATTCTTAGAAAAGATAACCAAGAAGAAGTAACACTTTTTATTGTTATTTTCAATATTTTATCAGATTGGTATCTGGAGATTGGAAAGTGGATGAAGACTCTCCACTATTCAAAATACAATAAGATAATTTTTTATCCAGGAGTACCAGCCAACTGGGTTCGAAATTATTTTGAGATAGAAAATATACTTTGTATATATCCTAGCAAAAATCTCAAAGAAATAGCTCAACTTCCAGCCAATATCAAGAAAGCTGTTAAAAGATATACTGAAGTCATTAAGACAACAAATATATATATGAGATTCCATTCAGCAACCATGGAATGGGATCCCGTTCTTGAATATATTCATCCATCGTTCCATGTTATCAAAATGGGACTTACCAATCAACATTTTTTACCAACCAATCAAAAGGTTGTTAAAAATGGATATCAAGATATTCTAAATATGATGTCCTACAGAAGAGCAAAAGGGTACAAAGAGATATTTGAACATGTAACTCAGATAATTATTGAGAAAGAAAAAATATGGGTTTATCCATCTGAAGATCATATTATCTATTCCAATGCAAGAATGGCCACTAAGGAAGAAGATATTTGTTATTTCGACAATTTATTATCTGCAATTATTTCCAACCAAGTGCATGGATCAGAAGATATGGCTAAAGAACTATGCAAATTACTTTGGAATTACAGTGATCACCATTGTGAATACCGCGTAGTTGAAGATATGAGTCAAGCATCTCTTAACAGTGAAGAATTCCCTGCAGAATTCTTTGATTCAAAAATGAAAAAGTGATGGTGACAAAAGTAGCCCTTTATCACTACTTTAATAAAGAAATTTATTAAAAAAAAACTGTGGCTACTAAAAGACAGAAGATAGTACAAGAAAAGTCTCCATAATTGTGACTACTCCCCACCAATTGTCACAAGTGGTAGACAAACTCAAAAGATAAGGCATATAATTTCAAATGGAGAGGTCCACCTAACAAGAAGACAATGAAGAATTCGATGGAGATAAGATGACCTAGCTACCCAACAAAGAAAGGTAGAAAACACCTGTCAAGATAAGATTCTCAAAGGCTTCTATAAAAGGAGGCAAGGAGGAAGAAGGAAGATATCTTGAAACAACTTATCTCTAAAACACTCTGAAGAAGCACATCTTAGAGATATATCTTTTGTAATCTGTATACACTACTTATATTCAGAAAAAACATTAGATAGCTTGAAGATAGCAAAGCTTGTAATAAGGTAATTACTTATGGAGTTCTAAACTTCATAAGGTAAGGACCAAAGGTATGTAAATATAGATTGTAAGCATGTACTATTTCAGTTTATGAATATTAAAGTAAAGTTTGTTATGTTCAACAAAGCTTTCATAAAATGATTTCGTTAAGTTTCTCATGATTCCTCAGCAGTACAAATAGGGATTTTAAAAGATTTTCAAAATATTGATTTTGAATGGATGTTAGCCATGCTAAAGTTCCCGTTTCTAAAGAAATGGTTTAGGGAAAAAAGGCAGTTTTCTAACAAAATTGTAGCACCTTGTGCGTGAGATATCTTTTAAAATTTCGTTTCAAGTAAGAACTTGATTCTGAAAAGAGTTTGGATAGAGGTGAAAACAAAGACGCTGGATACTGTGAGATAGCTTCTGTGGAAACACGACTAGTTCTCTGGAGTGAGAAATGCAACCTTAATTAAAAAGCCTTTTTGCGAAAGCAGTTGTGGACTCAAATGATTTCAAAAAATATTTTAATCTTTACTTGATTCAGAAGATTGATTAAATACATGCAAAGTATCTATAAAAACATACTGGAGGGAAAGCCTGTTTACTTTCATTTGATTACTGTAAGTTATTTACTTATTCTTACATACTTATACTTTAATTATTCTGATGAACAATTCACAAGCATCCACATCTATTTCTAATAATGATAATAATCTCATATTATTTTTAGATGAAAAAGATGTTTCATTTTTATTTAAATTAGCTGAAAAGTCTGAAAATATATTTCCTATTAGCAAAGAAAAATTTGAAGAAATATATAGAGATATAGATTATAATTGTAAAAATAATATAAGACTTGATTCTGTAGGAATTAGTAAAGAGATAAGAAAGATAGAGGATATTATAACTAAACATAGAGATATACAAGAAGAAATTTCAGAAGGATTAGTTCGAGGATATATAACTAAGAAATGTCAGCCTAGGATCTTTGAAGAACTACTAAAATACAAAGAATATTTAAAAGTGTTTGAAAGATTGAAGAATATAAATATAGGTCCTGATTAATAAATTCTTAAAAATATAAAATATATCTTGCTAATAATTATAGTAAGGGTAAAATAGTATTTCTAATAGAAAAGGTCATTGTGGAAAATTGGATCAATTATCCAGCCATTTTAAAAATTGCCCCAGTGCAATTATTGTGTACCAAGCTTTTTTCTTTTTTCCTAGTTTCCTGCATTCGAGTAGCATATGAATAGAATCTTGTGAAATAACCAAAAACACAAATTATCTGTTTTGTAAGTTAGACTAGACAGTCTGATTAAGAATCACATAGAAATTAAACTAATTTTTGTTGTATTGTCTAGTTTATAAATTGTACCTATCAAAAAAAAACCGATATGATTTGCTTGCAGTAGGCTAAACACGACAAAAAATGCGTGAGTTTTGTTATAGTTCGCACTTCTTTAATCACATATAGTCGATTTTGCTCGTATCAATTGGTCGATGCACCAACGAAATGCAAATTGGTGAACAAGGATACTTGAAATTGACCACCCATTTTGAAGNTTTACTATGTAAGTATATGCACAAAGTCAATAGTTACATTTTCATTTTGAGTTTTTAAAGTATAACTTGATGACTACGATATTGTTAAAAAAAATTTAATTCTTCGTTTGTGTACATAGTTTCTAAATAAACGGCTCTTTATTCAAAATGAAAATGTTGAATTGTTTGAGTTATATCATAAAGCCATCTTGATCTATATTCGTGTATGTACCAATGAAGTCAAAAATAAAAATGTTGCTAGTTCTTCCCCACATGGATATCCAATGAACTGTGTTGCTAGAAGAGAAAGTAGAAGTAGCTAATTATGATATTAGACAAAATTAGATAGTGATCATTAGCTAAATTTGCAAAACGATGCCCAATTATAATGCATTCTTAACATAAGATATGAAATCATATCTTTTGAAAGTACTAGAATCCCAACACCATCTTTTGCAAGGTCCATTAATAATACTTTTTAAAATATATTAATTTTAACTACACATTTCGTAAGCTCCACAATTACTATTCAATTGTCCATCGCTCATTTCTATTACATTATAAATTTAGTAACATATAATTTTATCCTACACTCGCTAAGTTGCATACAAAGTAAATAAGTGCATGTTTGGCAAAGTTCGAATTTTTTAAGTTGGACGAACATATTTATTATTTACACATTTCATTAGATTTAGAACTTAATGTTCTCTTATTATCTACACATCTCAAAAATTTAATAGCTTACAAGCTTTTAAAAGCACTGCAAGACATGCTCTAACTAGGGCACTAGCTTTACAAAACTCACATTTGGTCTTTAACCTCGAGATAAAATTTGGTAAAACAACCTATTGTGGTTATATGTTTTATTGGTAATTGCTAAAATTGAAAGCGCATTGTGCACGTGCAATGTACATGCAAGATTGAATCTCATGAAGAAGTCCGTCGATGCATTATTTTTTGCTATTTAGACATTTAGCAAAGAATCGAACAAGAGAAATGATGATTATTAAGACTCAAACAGTGGACCAAAACAAATACGTAGCAAACAAAGAGCATCTCATTCCGCATCGTCAAAATCAATTACTCAATCACGCATTTCTAACAGTTTTATCTCGATATCACCAGACCAATTTAAAGGTACTATGTTCAAATATAATGTAAGATGATGATCAAAGATGGTTTTTGTTGAACTCTAAATTATTGGAGATGAATTTGATTTGGTTTTTTTAATAATTCCTTGGAAAGTAACAAAGCAAGAAAAGAACAAAAATTAGGCAGATTAGGTTACTTTTGAACTTACATTTGGTGGAAGAGCAAAAATAAAAGAGGGAGCCTACCTAATATGGAATCTGACACTAGCTTGTGCAACCAATGGAAATTAGACATTTTAGGAATCCCACATGAAAAGGAGATTCAATCCATTTTGTCTCGACGCAAACACCGTAAAATATCGATGTTGTATGATCCAAATCAATGCTATCTAGACATTTGACGAAAAAGATCTAAACTAAGTTAATAAGAGAAAGTTTATTGCATTTTAAATAGTTTTATCTCAATGTCATTATACCAGCCAAAGTTACACTATCACTCTTTTATAAACCGTGAATTCAAATCATACATGAAGGTTCGTCTTGAAGATAAGAATGAATAAATACTATTTGCTCTTCTTTATAACGACTTAAGATTTTTTGATGAAGTTGTTTAACATCCGCACATAGAATTAGCAACTTGGTGGGACCCTATTACAAGAAAATTAGAATTCAATTTATAGTATCAGGAAATAGTGTATTCACACAACATATAGAATCAACTTCAGCCAGAAATGAGGTCATAAAGCTAAACAAATGTGGACAAACTGGTGGTTCTTCTGAGTGCTGTGAAATCAACCCTTTCTTGTACCTATTCTAACAAACAAAAAGGACTAGCTAAGAAAATCCTGTATAAATGCACTTTCATTATGAACTCCTGTTGACATTGCAAATGAATTTATCCTTCCCTTTAAATTCTCTTCCCCGTTACTCATTTTCCTGAGGCTAGATTCTTCAGCCCTTTAGAAGTTTATAGAAAACTTAAGCCTCGACTGCATGAAGAACTCACGATTTCATCGTTTACACAAACAATATACTATGATTCAGAGATTTCTAATGGTCTTCTTATTTAGTTTTACAATCAGCAAAAAGAACCTTCCTATCCCAATATTACGTTCATCATTAGCAGATATGGCCTTTAACGGGCACTTAACCTTTGAAAAGAATGAACATGCAGCAAAAGATTTTGGGGATATATACCATTTCATGCCATCAGCAGTTTTATACCCAAAATCGGTTTCTGATGTTTCCTCAACCATAAAATATATTTTCGAGATGGGTGCCTCTTCAGAGCTAACGGTAGCTGCCGGAGGCCATGGTCACTCCCTGGCAGGCCAGGCACAGGCCTACCAAGGAGTGGTTATCAATATGGGATCTCTTCGGGAACCAGAAATGAGTTTTCACGCCGAGGAACCGCCCTATGTTGATGTTTCTGCTGGTGAACTTTGGGTAAATATTTTGCATGAGAGCCTTAAACGTGGGCTAGCGCCAAAGTCATGGACAGATTATCTTCATCTCACTGTTGGAGGGACTTTATCAAATGCGGGAATCAGCGGGCAAGCTTTCCGACATGGTCCCCAGATCAATAACGTTTACCAACTACAGGTTGTCACAGGTTGGTCTTCAGTTCATGAAAAATATTCTCACAAATTTGAAGTATTACATAAAACAAGAATTCCTAGGTGATCATATAGTTAAGGTAAAGATCCTTTTTCTCTACACTGAAGGTCTGCTCGAATTCATTTGTTCTTGTTTTGCATAAGAATTTCACCTGTTCAATCTATACTGAATTTTTGAAGTGCTTATATGGTAGAACCCACTCAAACTATATCTGAAAAAAAAGAAGAAGCTAAAATCTTGT